ACTAGGTAGCACCGTAGGGTAAAAAGAGTGGTGTATTTGATGTTTTAGCTGCTCATGCAGCCTGATCCAGCCTACTACAAAAAGATTGAAGTGTTTACTCCAAAGTATGCGAGTAAACACATTTTATTTGTTTTTTTCTCGTTCAGTAGATTCTAATTCAATGGCCTGGTGTACGAGCACCAAAGTTTATCCCTTTTCAAAAGTTTCACAGGTTTTATTTGAAGATATGACATATGTTATTGCTCCAGCTTACAATGCTCCCAACTATAAATACCCTTTTTTCATAACACAAGACTAACTTACAACGATACGAATTCGCTGCTATGTCTTGATATTTCCTGATTTGGGAAAGGCACATACAGAATGTACATGGCATAAAAAAGAGAGAATGGGGCTATCAGATCTGCCACGAAAAAAAAAATAATATAAAAATCCACAACAAACAGCGACATTAATCAAGCTGTTTGATATCAAAATAAGAATATGTTGCATGATTGCCAATGAGACAAATCACCACCATAGACCAAATCACATGGAAGTTAGGAACAGACTACAATCCCGCTAAAATTTTTTTTAGTAATGACTATTATATTCGTTTAAGTCTTAGGCGTCTCTGCAAACACGCACATATCAAGCCAACATAGAAAAGAATATTTCATTTGAAGGAGTCAACGAAACATCACCGACAAGAACAGAACACTTAACAATTGGAAAGGAAAGGTCATCATAAATATTTGTATAAAGATAAGCATGAGTAATTCCAATATCAAGTTCTAAAGAGGGCATCTAATTTTAATTAAGTAAGAGTGAGATGAAGTGGATACATCTCGTTTATATGTATATTTAGGAAAACATGACTGTTTACACATACTAGTAATCTATCGTATAAAAATCTGCTCATTGTTAAGAATATCTATATTCAGTGATGTTTCTTTTGGTCTTTATGATCACGAAGTTAAACAATGGTTTACATTTTTATTTATAACAGCTATAAGAAGAGCAGAGTTAGTTCCCTTCAGAATACCAATCACTTGGCGGTATATACCGGTTATTTATCTCGGGACTCCAAAAGAAACTAACATATTATAAAGCAAAAACACTTATGATGATAATAATTCCTTTGCAAGTTACATTCGAAGTATAGTCATCACTTCAAGTTGTGTACGTCTGTCTGTCCGTCCGTTGTTGCACGATTTACATTTTCGTCTTATCCAGTCTGAAACCAATTTAAAGCAGACTTGACAGTAAAGATTGATCATGATATATAGAAGGCCCAATACAAGTGATCCTCGTGTGTTCCGGATTCACAGGAAGAAAAGCATTGCCACCAGAGACAAACTTTGATTCTGATTCGGACCAATTTTCTAAAATTTGAAACGAAATTGTCATCTGCTTCTATGAATCAACTTGGCCAATTTTAACGATTCTTTTTCAGAAATGATGCAAAAGATGCTCTACAAATATTTTCTCGCTGAGTTCGCTTCCAATCCGATGAAAAAACATGTTTGTCGGAGGCAACCTTCGATTCTGAATGCCTAATTAAACAAATCGTCTCCTCTAAAACTACACTGAGAAATATTTTTAAATTTTAGGGAATTATTGATTCATCAGTGGAGATCCTTCTAACGCGATCCTTAGTCAATGTTGCTCGGAATGGGTGACAAAAAAAAACCCGTAATTGATATCATATATTTATTCATAGTTACGATTGAAACCATAATGATATCACTTGTTCGTCATCTTTTCTGAAACTATTTGGTAAATTTCAACCCAACTTGACATGAATAATGTCAGAGACATATACTAAAATTTGTATTATATGTCTCTGATAATGTATGGAAGGTACTCTAGTTACAAACAATCCTCATTTGGTTTTCATTTTTTTTTAAAACGTGGCCTAAAAAGGCAATATCTGTTTTTATTGACATTTTTTTTTTCAAATATTCTCCGACGAAACTATAAGGCAAGATGGTTTAAGAAAATGCCTGTTCCAAGTCAAGAATATATGACAGTTATTTTTCATTCGTTTGAACTTTTTTTTTGCCATTTGATAAGGGACTTTCTGTTTTGAATTTTTCTTGGAGTTTGAAATTTTTGTTATTTTACTTTTTAAAACTTGAGGGAGTTCATGACTGGAAGACTGGGCCTATACATATATTTCAATGGTCATCAACACAACATATATGTAGAGGAAAATTTGAAAATGATTAAAACCTTCATCTTGGAAACATCTGGAAAGGCTATACCAAAGAAAACACTAAAAGCCAAACAGTCACCACTATGTATCAATAATAACTGAAAAAAGAAATATCATAGCTGAGAAACTCAACTTTGTAAATGTCATGCACGATGGGACAAGACTTAGTACCATCGACAACCGGCAACAATTGACATTTTGATTTTAGATTTCGAATAGGCATATAGTCTCATTCCTGTAAAACAGATCACAATGTGCAGTTGTAACTGGGGGTAAATTGTACTTTCAGGAGTCCTTCAGGGAATAGTTTTCGGGCTATTTCTGTTCCTCGTCCATATTAACGAAATGGCGGATCATGTGATATCGGAGATCAGGTTAATTGCATACGAATTTTTGTGCCATAGAGAAATTAACAACCAGCACTGTTTGGAGCTAAAAAAAGACATAGACACCTTAAGTACATGGGCTGAAACTTGAGGAATGTGTTTCCAACCTGTCAAATGCAACATGATGATCTTAAGTCGCTAAAGGAAGACCACTTGATTTAAAATCGTGAACGGGCAAACAACTGAAATTCTTAAAATCAAAAAATACCTTGGAGTGTAGCGATTTACATATAGGAAAAACACATTGAGGATAATATGTAACAAATCTTAATAATACACTTAGATTGGGTTGTTAAAACGAAACCTATCATCATGCTTTAGGAAGGTAAAGTTACAGGAATATAAGGGACTAATTCAACATGTCATAGAATATACAACCACAGTATGGAACCCTCATCAAATGTATTTACAGGAAAACTAGAAAACGTTCAGAAAAGAGCAGCAAGATTCATAACATCTGACTACAGTTACGAATCAGGTAGTATGACTAATAAAACTAGAACCAGGTCCTAAAAGATAGGCGAAGACAAAATAGACTGATTTTATTTTATAAAGGCATACATCATCTAGCCGAAAACCTTCAACGATCAAAGAACATGCATAGTCAATAATTTCTCATAATTCAGGCTAAGACGGACAGTTTGTAATTCAGCTATCTATCAAGTACAATTAAAGATTGGAATCTCCTACCTCCGGATATTATTACCAGAGACATATAATTGTCTCTGTTATTACCAAGATGCTATTCGGAAGAACTGGATAAGTTGTTTAAAGAAATGATAAGGGGGTTTCAAGTTGTAAGTTAAGTTAATATCATTGACGCACGCGCGATGTAGTTATACCCATGGAGGACGTTACATCGTTTACAATCAAGATCAAGATCCAAGTTTAGTTTTGATCGGGTGCAAACATGCCGGCATTGCTGTTATAGTAGTCTCAGTTCTAATCCGATGAAAAAATTGGTTGTAAGAGGTAATCTTTGATTTTGATTGTCAAGTTTAAAAAAAAATCGTCTCTGACACAACAGGGTGAAATATTTTGAAATTTTAGGAGTTTGATGATTAATTGATCGATACCAAGTCCACTAGGCTCATTCAATGTTAATCGTATGGCGAACATGGCGTAATTTGTGTTACACTGTTGCAACTAACACCCTAATGAAAAGCAAATTCCTGTTCTTCTCAAACAATCGTTGGTCAATTTTAATCAAACTTGACAGGAATGATGTACAGAGCTGATGTCCTCTACAAAGGATCCTCCCGTGTTTCCCATTGGATGGAAAACGTGGCCACTAAAAGCAATCATTTATTTTGACTGACCAATTTTACCGTGAAACTACATGGTAAAATGGTTTTAAACTTGAGGGAATTTATGATTGGAAGACACAGATGATCCCCACTTGGCGGCATTCATGGCAGAGGATCCACATTGAAACCTTATTGGAAACCACGTTTTCATATTCTTCTATGAATCTACATGATGAACTTTAACCATACATTGCAGAAATGATGAATCGCATGTGCTTTATAAATTGTTCTTTTCAATCTTTTTCCTTTAAATAGATACAAGCATTTGTAAGGTATTGAACCAATATTTCTGGGACTTAACAGTTTCTCCTCACACTTACCTGAATTCAACATAAGCATTAGTGATTTAAACATCTTTTAACAGTTTTAATACTAGCTCCTCATAAAAGTTAAATTTTCAAGAAAATATGTTTTCACTTGTATGATTTTGATTTTAATAACGGTTATACATGAAATTGCTTGATTTATTGTTGTTTGCTAAATGCCTAGTGGCAAATAGTTCATACCATTCAGGACAAGAACATAGCAACACAAATTGTAGGTAGGTTTTGCAAGGGGGTTAACTGAGATAGAGGCTGGTAAATTTTGACTGCCACTTGAAGAAGGGCATGTTGGTGAGAGGTATAGCTAGCTATAAAACCAGGTTTAATCAACCATTTTCTACATAAGGAAGTAGCTGTACCTAGTCAGAAATATGACAGTTGTTTTCTATTCGTTTGATGTGTTTGAGCTTTTGATTTTGCCATTTGATAAGGGACTTTCCTTGGAGTTCGGTATTTTTGTTATTTTATTTTTGGATAGGGGTAAAAATGTTGCATTGAGCCCATGAGCCCTATAAAAAGTTCTTGGATGGGTTCTTTTACATGCAGACAACATGGAACTTTCCCTACACAAGGCACCAGCATTAATGTCTCCATTGTGATTGAACATAATTGCATTTTTTCATCCTTCACAGCCAAATGATGCCCTATTTAGCATTGGTTTACTGTTGAGTGAGAAAAGTCCAGGTGACACTTGGAGATGCATGTTACTTGAGGTACATAAAATGGAATCTTGTGGATTGATATAATAAATATTGGATAAAACTTAACAAAGAATAAAATGGCCAAAAAAAAGGTAATTTTTTATTAATAAAAACTAAAAATACAATGTAACAAGTAAATCTATGGCTTCTTGCAGACTAATATATAAAATTAAGAGTATTTGCACAAAAGAGAACATTCAAGTGATGCCCTTCCACATAAAATTTCTTAAATTATTTCCTTTACATTCTATTTTTCAGTTTGTTAAGCTATGGTTTTTGTGAACTTTATGAATGTTATTGAAGGATAAGAAAATGATTCATCTCTTTTTAAAAATTAAAATACAATAACCATAATATCATATGTCCACAGTAATGACATGATGCAATGTTTTAATTTATTAAAACTAATTTCATTTTCCATTTAAAAATTTTTGCCAAATTGTTTTAGCTGTTGCTCTACATTCGACCAGAAGTATCAAAGATAAAATTTATGGGAAAAAAGCTTTTATTCTGGCCCTTACACAAAAGTAAAATAAGAGAGATTTTTATTGTTGCCTTGAATGTGTGGTAATGGTACAATCATATAGACATTAGCAGCATTAAATTTACTTCTTAACACAAAAAACAAAAATAAAAAAAGATGGGTTAATGTATTAACCATATAGCATAAAATCTTATTTTACCATTTATATATAGTGTCCAATAATTTATATTGAAATCTAATAACTATGAAAAATTTAACAGAAACAAGTTAATCAAAAGTGGCTGTACAAGTTAATGACTTAAAAAACCAGCAATTTTTGTGTACCTTTGAACTTCATCATAATGAACTTATTTCTTGAAGAAAAAGGATGTCAGATGTTCATTAATAGCTGTTTTCGTTGTTTTTTTTTTAAATTCTGGAAATAAAAAATAAGCTTGCATGACATAATACTACAAGGGGAATAACTATGAAAATATGTTTGTTTTCAAAAAATAAAATATTATGCTTTTACTTCTGCCACAGGTCTTAAAATCTGCAGTCATATAAAAAAACAAAACATTACAATGAATCACAAAATAAAACTTTATATCTCCTCCCCTTTTTTTTGTTGAGGAAATTTTTAAATTTACAACCTTTATAAGAATTTATATGCAATACCAAACATTTCATTTACAGATTTCCTTCCCTTTGGACTTTAACATGTGTTTGAAAGGACGGCTTTTAAATAATTAGCCATTATTCTTGAGGATAAATGGAGAAAATTTAAATTATCTCCCTTATGCAGAATAGAATATCCAAATCTGGGTAGATGTGTCTGCATTTTGTTTGGTTTATTCAACATATTAGCTATTCAAGTTTACATCATAAAAAATTTCAATATCACTATATCACTATGAATAAAGGATTCATAAACTAATTAGCAAAAATGCATTGCTGTTTCTAATGGTTTACTGCTTCCCTCTTAATTAAAATTTTTTTTAGCACTAAAGTTACTGGTGAAAAAAACCAAAACGTGCTAATGTGGGAGTTACAACAGCACGTCCTAGGTCATTAGTCTTAATCACAATTCTTGGATTTCTTCATATTAAACTAAAGAGTTCCATATAAAATCTATATCATACATAACATTACAGTCTAAGTAACTTAAAGCAAAGTGTGAACAAACTTTTGATTGCTTTCATCCAGTTAGATTAGCATAATCCTTAGATAATAAAAATGTGCCTTTTTGATTGGTTGATATATAACCCTTTTACAAGCATTTAATAATTTTTAAAACTGATTCCAAAAGACTACATATAAAAAGTTTTATTCAATTTTTAAGGCTGATACTTTACTATTTACAAACATTTAATAATTTTTAAAACTGATTCCAAGAAAGTACATATAAAAAATTTTATTCAATTTTTAAGGAAAAACAAATAATCGCAGATTAGAGTTTATAGGTATAACTAACATTCTACACTATGTGTGGTAGACGAAAAGACTCAATTTAAAATGTAAAACATATATAACAGTATCTAACAATTTATAAGATTCTGGAAAAACATTGTGCTCCCTACACCATTTAATGATAAAAATTAACTTTCTAATAGAATAGAAGAAAAATCGGAAATCTTTTCAGATCAACACAAGTTTGACAACTAAAAAAAATTGAGCTTTATTCGTGTCTCTGATGCCCAAAATTAATAGCTTATGGAAAATGAAAGAGTAAAATCTTTAACAACACTTTAAACATTTCACATGTAACATACAATTGTTAACAACAAAAACATGGTTCAAAGTTGTGAAGTTACATAAACTAAATACTGACTTTTGGTATTGATATATAACACATAAGCAAATCACGTTGTAATTGGTCTGCTGAGAGTGATTTGTAGTTCCAATTTTATGAAGAATGAACTTATCTTGTTTCTTAAATTGTAAGATATCTCATCTGATCAAAACATTTGAAATATCAGGCATAAATCTTCTTCAATACTATTGTATATGGACACAAAATTTTTAATAAACTTAGGATGAATTATTACTAACTTTGTACAATTGAAAATGATTACAAATGATTACAACATGATTATAATATAATTAAAAACTTCAGTCTATTAATCATCACTTTTTGTAAGTAAGTTACTGTTAATGAGTATGGGATAAACATTTATATATCTGGCTGGAAAACAAAACTTTTCATTGGCTGTTTCAGAATCTCAAGCATTCTGGGTAATATTTTCAAAATCATGCAAAGAAATGTCATTATTGGTTAACAACCTTGTATAAAAGAATGAATTTTTCACAAATAGTGTAATATTATCTATATTCTATTGTATGAAATTGAAATAACAAACACTCCTTTTGATTCTGATACAGCAATGCCTTTCATTGTCATCAATAAAATATTTGGTCAAAAATAAACAAAAACACAAAAAAAATCATACATATATTTGTATACAATTAAACAAATCATAAAATTAAAGAATGTGCAGAAATCAAAATGAACACATTTAAATCTTGATGACTGTCAATACAGTACAACTCAGCACGTGTACAATCAACTTGTAGAAACCAATGCCTTAGTTACCTAGGTAACTGTTCAAAATGAAATCTTATAAGTTCAATAAAAAAATAAAGATGTGGTATGATTGCCAATGTGACAACTTTCCACCCGAGACTTAATGACATAGAAAGTTCAAGTCTTTCATACAATGTCAATCAACTACCTGTATGTCTTCACCTACATGAAGTTTAAAAATACTATTGAAGGTTCACAATATGATAACAGATAAAACACTTTACATAAAGAACTTTATACAACATATTCCCAACATAAATTTGAACAAATTTCTTCTCATGAGGCTATACAGAACATCTTTCCAGCAATAAGGAATAACTAAAATTGTTTCATCTTATTAGAAAATACTAGACAAAGCGAACAATCTAGTCAATTGGTCTTTCAACATATAACAAACTTCCAATGGTATATTTAAATGAGTTGTAAAATCACAAAGAAATAAACATAAATGATTGATTGATTGTTGCCTAAGAAAGGAAAACAGATATTAACAATAATATCTATGCCCCCTTTCAGCTAGCACATTTCCATGAACATTGAGTCAAAACTGTAATTTGGCACCATAATGAACATGTGTACTAATTTTCAAGTTAATTTGTCCATAACTTTACAACTTAAACCCCCCTTCCCTTCTTCGTTTATGGGGTTAAAAAGATAATAATCCATGATAATATTTTTACAAATAACATTGCCATAATAAAAAAAATAATTAAGTTAAAAAAAGTATTTCAAAACTCATTTGGAACAATTGAAATCACTACTTTTCAAGCGAGACAATTATATCCCGTAACAAAAAAGAACTTGGTCTTTAACATTATTTTTTATCGAGAGAAACTGATTAATGCCTCCTATAAAAATTTTTTTTATAAAAATTTGTATAAAACAATGTTTCTCAAAAATGTCAGCCAATGGCATTACATGTAATAATTTGACTGTAAACAGAACATTTGTGTTTTTCAGGAATATACAGTCACTGATGTCTGTGAAGTGAGAAATTGTTTAAAAGGGGTTTATTTTCCCTTAATATTGTGATAATGATAAAATCTTGAAATCACCCATTTGCATAAATTTGATGTTTACTGAAATTTAAATTCAGAGAAAATAATAATGCGAATATAAAACCTTACAACCAGGTTTTGGGCTAGTTATCTTGAAATTTAAACTCCATGAAAATAAACCCATTTTATATTAATTTACTGCTTTCTCAAAACTCTCAAATTTTATTCTTATATGAAACCATTTTTCCTATTTCAAAACTTAAAATATTTCTTCAATTTACAATAAAATGTTAAATTTGAACATAAGTGTCTCTCCAAACAAATTTTAACAACGAATAAGATTAAAGAACCATATGAATAATAAAATGGTTGTATATTAATATAAATATTTCTGAAAACCTTGTAATAAAAAAAAAATGGAATGATCTAGACTACTATTCTTGAGTTATTCTTAATAAAATGTTTGTCTGATGAATACAAAGTTCTCCTTTATACATATTTTCCTTCCGGTTTCCTTCCTTTACAACAAATGAAGCAGGCAAAGATCACACAGAATATCTAAAAATAGAAATAATAAACTGCTTCGCTGAGCGCAGCTGGATACGCCCGCAGAGGTCCAACCCTGAACAGTTGGGGCAAAAATGGACACAATATTCAAGCTTGATACAGGTCTGAATTTGGATTGTATTAAATATTTGACATATTATAGGTTTCTGAATAAACGTAGTCAAAGAACTTGAAATTGGTTATGTGAATTGGATTTATATTCAATTAATGATTTCTTGCTATTGTGCAATACTTAGTAAATCTGTTGTCAGACTGTTAACAAATAAAGTTCAATTAATTCTCAATGTCATATTAGAAATTTATGAAAATGTAAAGGGAGCTTACATCAATAGATATAAACAATTCATCAAAGTTTCATGAGAATTGCTGACAGCATTTTTGAGTTATTGTCCGAAAACTGGAAAATCCCCCCTTTTTTAATGAATAAAACCCCATAACTCAGAAATGTAAAATTTATAAAATTCTAAACGGAGCTTACATCAATAGATATTAACAATTCACCAAAGTTCCATACGAACTGCTGATAGCATTTTTGATTTTTTGTCGGAAAACTGGAAAATCCCCCTTTTTTTATGAATAAAACCCTGTAACTCGGAAACGTAAAATCTAAAATATATAAAAATTAAAAGGGAGCTCATGTCAATAGATATAAACAATTCACCACAATTTCTTGCAAGTTGGTGAAAGCATTCTTGAGTTATTGTCCGAAAATTGGAAAACCCCCCTTTTTTTAATGAATAAAACCCCATAACTCGGAAACGTAAAATCTAAAATTTATAAAAAACGAAAGGGAGCTCACGTCAATAGATATAAACAATTCACCAAAGTTTTATGCAAATTGGTTAAAGCGTTTTTGAGTTAATGTCCGACATGTTGATGACGGACGGACAGACGGACGGACGGACAGACGGACAGACGGACAAGGGTATACCATAATACGTCCCGTAAACGGGCGTATAAAAATTAAATAAAAATTAACATCACAATTAAAATAAAATAATTTAAATTCTTGCATGTCTGAGTAACAAAATGGGTGTTGATGATAAAGCAGGAACTCCTTTCCCTTCTGTCGCACCTGAGTTCCCCAGTTATTGATACGGTTCCTTTATTTTTCTACATGTTCAATGAAATCTTCAGTTGATAGTTTTGTCATATCAACTTTTTTTATTTTGGTCGTGGGGATGTCTGTCTTATCTGTACTAATAATTTTTTGACTTTTGACTTTGACTTGGTATTTTCTTACTTTTTTCGTGTTTTTGTAATATCAACACAATACATGTAAGTTCATTAGAGGTTTTGTTTAGACTAGTATAGCAAAAATAATAAAATGACTGAATAAGATTATATCATGCAAAATATATTCTAAACAGGACTTATTAGGGAGGACTTATATTTTAACTTAATTTGATAATCAGTACATAGCGCTTAATCATCACGGTAACCAGTCCTGTAAATCCTTAGATTTTTCTTACAAATAAAGAGAGATGTGGAATATATGTCAATATGACAGCAACCATAAACTGTTTTCCAACAAGCAGACACTTACAACAGGAAATCAGTTCTACAAAGCATTTAAGGATTGATTTTAAGCATAAATAATATATGAATTTTTAAGATCATAATGACATACTTTTTAATCCTATATCTAATATATATAATATTTTTTTTTACCTCCAACAGCATAAGAGCTATTCCGACTCCAATATAAATTGCATTATACCTCATAACAATGTCCTCCAAAGCATCAAAACAGCCCTGTAATAAGAAGAATTAAATAGTCTTTATCAGATTAATAATGCCAAAATGTTTTATCAAAATAGAATAATTCTATTAATATGAATAGATACAACAACATTTTTGAATTTTTTTCATACTAATTCTAATTATTGGCAATTAAGGTGGTACATAACACTACAGGGAGATAACTCTTTAAAAATCAGCTGAACATTTTAATCACATTCTATTGTAAAGGAAATATTAAGCTTCTCAATGATCAAAATTAGTGTTTGTCAAACTGCTATATATATCCAATGAAATATTTCTGATAAAGTGTGTGGTTCAAATTTTTTTGAAATTTTTATATTTTTGTCAAAGGGTCAAAGTAAATATTTTGTCAAAATTTTAAGAAAATTAAACGAGCCAAATTAATTTTAGTCAAAGTGTACCACCTTAAAAAACAAACACACATAAAAAATAAAATATATTTTAAATTCAATATGCCTCTCCCATTTGTTGGCCTATTTAGGAAGTAGCTGGAGTCTCAAATGCCAGGGAGCTAGTACACCTTTAAAAAAAAAAAAACAAGAGAAATTTCAAACTAAGATTTTAAGGCCTGATTTAAGAGACAATAAAATGCTTCACTGGGCGCAGCTTGATACAACCACAGAGGTCGAACCCTGAACAGTTGGGGCAAGTATGGACACAACATTCAAGCTTGATACAGCTCTGAATTTGGATTGTGATTAAATATTTGACACAGCATAGGTTTCTGACACAGAAAGAATGTGGTCTAAGAACTTGATCTTTTTTAATTTACCTATTATGTTCCAATGTCCAAAATCAAAATACATGGTTAGATTCAGCATATCAAAGAACCCCATATATTCAATTTTTGTTGAAATCAAACAAAGTTTAATTTTGGACCCCAACTTGGACAAACTTGAAAACTGGGTCAATAATCAAAAATCTAAACACATGTTTAGATTCAGCATATCAAAGAACCCCATATATTCAATTTTTGTTAAAATCAAACAAAGTTTAATTTTGGACCCTTTGGACCTTGATGTAGACCAATTTAAAAAACGGGACCCAAAATTAAAAATCTAAATACACGGTTAGATTTGGAATATCAAAGAACCCCAATAATTCAATTTTTGATGAAATCAAACAAAGTTTAATTTTGGACCCTTTTGACCTCAATATGAACCAATTTGATAGCGGGGCCCACAAATAAAAAATCTAAATACATGGTTAGATTCAGCATATCAATTAACCCCATATATTCAATTTTTGTTGAAATCAAAAAAAGTTTAATTTTGGACCCCAACTTGGACCAACTTGAAAACTGGGCCCATAATCAAAAATCTAAACACATGTTTAGATTCAGCATATCAAAGAACCCCAAGAATTCAATTATTGTTAAAATCAAACTAAGTTTAATTTTGGACCCTTTGGACCTTAATGTAGACCAATTTAAAAAACGGGACCCAAAATTAAAAATCTAAAAACACGGTTAGATTTGGCATATCAAAGAACCCCAATAATTCAATTTTTGATGAAATCAAACAAAGTTTAATTTTGGACCCTTTTGACCTCAATATGAACCAATTTGATAGCAGGCCCACAAATAAAAAATCTAAATACATGGTTAGATTCAGCATATCAAAGAACCCCATATATTCAATTTTTGTTGAAATCAAACAAAGTTTGATATTTGGACCCCAATTTGGACCAACTTGAAAACTGGGCCAAAAATCTAAAATCTTAATACATGTTTAGATTCAGCATATCAAAGAACCCCATATATTCAATTTTTGTTGAAATCTAACGAATTTTAATTTTGGACCCCAACTTGGACCAACTTGAAAACTGGGCCCATAATCAAAAATCTAAACACATGTTTAGATTCAGCATATCAAAGAACCCCAAGAATTCAATTTTTGTTAAAATCAAACTAAGTTTAATTTTGGACCCTTTGGACCTTAATGTAGACCAATTTAAATAAAATGCTTCGCTGGGGCGCAGCTTGATACGACCGCAGAGGTCATACCCTGAACAGTTGGGGCAGGTATGGACACAACATTCAAGCTTGATGCAGCTCTGAATTTGGATTGTTATTAAATATTTGACACAGCATAGGTTTCTGACACAGAAAGAATGTGGTCTAAGAACTTGAATTTTTTTAATTTACCTATTATGGTCCAATGTCCAAAATCAAAATACATGGTTAGATTCAGCATATCAAAGAACCCCATATATTCAATTTTTGTTAAAATCAAACAAAGTTTAATTTTGGACCCCAACTTGGACAAACTTGAAAACTGGGCCCATAATCAAAAATCTAAACATATGTTTAGATTCAGCATATCAAAGAACCCCAAGAAATCAATTTTTGCTAAAATCAAACTAAGTTTAATTTTGGACCCTTTGGACCTTAATGTAGACCAATTTAAAAAACAGGACTTAAAATTAAAAATCTAAATACACGGTTAGATTTGGAATATCAAAGAACCCCAATAATTCAATTTTTGATGAAATCAAACAAAGTTTAATTTTGGACCCTTTTGACCTCAATATGAACCAATTTGATAGCGGGGCCCACAAATAAAAAATCTAAATTCATGGTTAGATTCAGCATATCAAAGAACCCCATATATTCAATTTTTGTTGAAATCAAAAAAAGTTTAAATTTGGACCCCAACTTGGACCAACTTGAAAACTGGGTCCATAATCAAAAATCTAAACACATGTTTAGATTCAGCATATCAAAGAACCCCAAGAATTCAATTTTTGTTAAAATCAAACTAAGTTTAATTTTGGACCCTTTGGGCCTCAATGAAGACCAATTTAAATAAAATGCTCCGCTGGGGCGCAGCTTGATACGACCGCAGAGGTCGAACCCTGAACAGTTGGGGCAAGTATGGACACAACATTCAAGCTTGATACAGCACTGAATTTGGATTGTAATTAAATATTTGACACAGCATAGGTTTCTGACACAGAATGAAAGTGGTCTAAGAACTTAAAAATTTTCAATTTACCTATTCATACATGTGATGGACTGTGAAACTCAGATCAGGAGATTGGGAAATTTTGGTCAGGAGATTAGGACTCAGATCAGGAGGTTTTTAATTGACATTAATTTTGTTGTAAATGTAACCGTGTGCTGTAAAAATGGTCTTTTAAAGTGTGTTTTCTTCAACTTTCCATCCAATTTATTATGTTTATAGTACCCTTGTACTTATAAAGTTTCTCCATCTTTATATTCTACATGTTCAATCTAACATTGTTTTTTTCCAGTATGTTCTTTAAATTTTTTACTTCATATTCTATAAAACAATCATTGCAACCAGAACATTCTTTTAGCTGTCTGCAAATAGTTTTTATTTATTTTTTTTTTCTCTTGCAAATAGTTTTTATTTTTTTTTTTTATCTTTATTATACAAATAGTTTTTATTTGCAAACTCAGAAATTCATTCTATCTGTAAAGTTAGGGTCATAGTTATTATATAAATTTCAATTTAAGCCTTAAAAGGAAGTATAGAATCCTCAAATAATTTTCAAATTATTATTTTTTTATTTGTCCTAAGACATTTAAAATCATTTAATAACCATCCTTTTATGATTATTTGTTCAATTTATATTTTATTTATATTCTTTTAAAAATTTTCATTATTAAATGGAAAGTAACTTAAAACAGGATAAATCAAGGGAAGTAACCCAATAAATACACAGTTTTTGTTACACAACGGCAGTTAGCCTGAGGTAAAAATCGTTGCTTACCAGTATGTTTGACACCCAAGCTGACAAGTGAAGCCATATAATTATGCATGTTAATTGATTTACAGGTAAAATATAACTTCAGGTAATGTCAGTTACACCAGATGCCTGAGATGATATGTTGGGCAGAAATTTTTCATTCATGAAAAATTTCATACACGGGATTTTTTCCTCTTCAACGGGAGGTCGGGAGGAGACCCCTGAAAACGGGATTATTGTACTCCCGTCGGGAGGTTCACATGTATGCCTATTCAAACCATATCATTATTATTTGCTTTTATATATAAATCAGAAATAACCAATTTAAAATGGAAAATGTTAAAGAAAAAAAAGGAAAAAAAAAATCCCCCCCCCCAATTTTTTGAACCCCCTTATGATTCACCGCCCCCAAACTCAATCCCAGCTTTCCCTTTGTGGTATGGTACCTTGCACTACAATTTCAGAGAGATTCATACACTTGAACACAAGTTATTGTCTGGAAACTAGAAAAATGCTTGTTTTTTGGCCCCTTTTTGGCCCCAAATTCCTAAACGTTTAGGGCAATTACCCCCAAACTCAATTCCAGCTTTCCCTTTGTGATATGGAACCTTGCAGTACAATTTCATAAAGATCCATACACTTACACACAAGTTATTGTCCTGAAACTAGAAAAATGCATGTTTTTTTGCCCTTTTATGGCCCCTAATTACTAAAATTTTGAGTGAAAACCCCCAAAATCAATCCCAGCCTTCCCTTTGTGATATGGAACCTTGTAGTACAATTTCATAAAGATCCATACATTTACAAACAAGTTATTGTCATGAAACTAGAAAAATGCTTGTTTTTTGCCCCTTTTTGGCCCCTAATTCCTAATATTTGGAGGAAATTACCCCAAAAATCAATCCCAGTATTCCCTTTGTGATATGGAACCTTGTAGTACAATTTCATAAAGATCCATACACTTACAAGCAAGTTATTGTCATGAAACTAGAAAAATGCTTGTTTTTTGCCCCTTTTTGGCCCCTAATTCCTAAAATTTGGAGACAATTACCCCCAAAATCAATCCCAGCATTCCCTTTGTGATATGGAACCTTGTGGTACAATGTCAGAGAGATCCATACACTTACACACAAGTTATGTCTGGAAGTTACAAAAATGCTTATTTTTGGCCCCTTTTGGCCCCTAATTCCTTAACTGTTAGTACCATAACCCCCAAAATCAATCCCCACCTTCCTTTTGTGGTATTGAACCTTATGGTAAAATTTCAATGAGATCCATTCACTTAAACTAAAGTTAGAGTGCGAAAACTAATGTGTATTCGGACGACGACGCCGGACGACGACGACGACGACGACGACGACGCCAACGTCATACCAATATACGACCACAAAAATTTTTTTGCGGTCGTATAAAAACGGGACCCAAATTAAACATCTAAAAACACGGTTAGATTTGGCATATCAAAGAATCCCAATAATTCAATTTTTGATGAAATCAAACAAAGTTTAATTTTGGACCCTTTTGACCTCAATATGAACCAATTTGATAGCGGGGCCTACAAATAAAAAATCTAAATACATGGTTAGATTCAGCATATCAAAGAACCTCATATATTCAATTTTTGTTGAAATCAAACAAAGTTTAATTTTGGACCCCAATTTGGACCAACTTGAAAACTGGGCCCATAATCAAAAATCTAAATACATGTTTAGATTCAGCATATCAAAGAACCCCATATATTCAATTTTTGTTGAAATCAAACAAAGTTTAAATACTGGACCCTATCTTGGACCAACTTGAAAACTGGGCCCATAATCAAAAATCTAAACACATGTTTAGATTCAGCATATCAAAGAACCCCAAGAATTCAATTTTTGTTAAAATCAAACTAAGTTTAATTTTGGACCCTTTGGACCTTAATGTAGACCAATTTAAAAAACAGGACCCAAAATTAAAAATCTAAATACACGGTAAGATTTGGAATATCAAAGAGCCCCAATAATTCAATTTTAGATGAAATCAAACAAAGTTTGATTTTGGACCCTTTTGACCTCAATATGAACCAATTTGATAACGGGGTCCACAAATAAAAAATCTAAATACATGGTTAGATTCAGCATATCAAAGAACCCCATATATTCAATTTTTGTTGAAATCAAACAAAGTTTAATTTTGGACCCCAATTTGGACCAACTTGAAAACTGGGCCAAAAATCAAAAATCTAAATACATGTTTAGATTCAGCATATCAAAGAACCTCATATATTCAATTTTTGCTAAAATCAAACAAAGTTTAATTTTGGACCCTTTGGACCTTAATGTAGACTATTTTGAAAACTGGACCCAAAATTAAAAATCTAAATACACTGTTAGATTCGGCATAACAAATAAATAAATGTGATCATAGATTTTACAAATCTTATGTGCCATACTGTGCAATTAAAGATTACTTCTTGAAATTTTTCAATATTTGAAATTTGAAAAAAAAAATAATATTTGAAGAATAATTCTTTTTAATTTCTGAAATCTAAAATGAGAAAAAATTGACCCCCCACAATTTCTTTTTATCCCCCACCCACCCCCCTTTTTTCCCCAAAAAAATTCTTTCCCTCAAGATATGGTCATAATCTCAATTCAAATTTCCAATGGAGTTGGCAACCATAATTACCCATTTAATTTTACCATAGTGCTAACTTAATCTATTTTATAAAAGAATTAAAAATATAGTGTCAAATCTTTCATATAGATTTTTTTGTAAAATAAAATGATGCAACATTTGCAGATATTTTTACTGGTCTTCCTTTATAAATATGCATTTCTTTAAACATAATTTAAAAGCAGTGTAAGGGAAGTAACCAAAACGTTGTATTTGGATTACCTCGCTCCCTTACACTGTTTTAAATTATCTTTATTGTTCATTAACCATTACTTTATACATAATTTAAAAGCAGTGTAAGGGAGATAATTTCAATGATGTATTTGATTTATCTCCCTTACACTGCTTTAAATTATGTTTTGTACTAAAGTATTTGTCCATTAACCAGGACAACCTTGTTTTTCCCCCTTTTTTGCCCCTAATTCCTAAACGGTTTGAGCCATAACCCCCCAAAGCAAATCCTAACCATCCCTTTGTGGTATGGAAACTTGTAGTATAATTTCAGAGAGATCCATACACTGTTCCACAGTTATTGTCTGGAAACTAGAAAATGCTTATTTTTGGCCCCTTTTTGGCCCCTAATTCCTTAACTGTTGGTACCATAACCCCCAAAATCAATCCCAACCTTCCTTTTGTGGTATTTAACCTTATGGTAAAATTTCAAAAAGATCCATTCACTTAAACTAAAGTTAGAGTGCGAAAACCAATGTGTATTCGGACGACGACGCAGGACGACGCCGACGACGCCAACGTCATACCAATATACGACCACAAAATTTTTTTTGCGGTCGTATAAAAACAGGACCCAAAATTAAAAATCTAAATACACGGTTAGATTTGGCATATCAAAGAACCCCAATTATTCAATTTTTGGATGAAATCAAACGAGGTTTAATTTTGGACCCTTTTGACCTCAATATGAACCAATTTGATAGCGGGGTCCACAAATAAAAAATCTAAATACATGGTTAGATTCAGCATATCAAAGAACCCCATATATTCAATTTTTGTTAAAATCAAACAAAGTTTAATTTTGGACCCTATGGACCTTAATGTAGACCAATTTGAAAACTGGACCCAAAATTAAAAATCTAAATACAAGGTTAGATTCGGCATAACAAATAAATAAATGTGGTCAAAGATTTTACAAATTTAATGCGCCATACTGTGCAATTAAAGATTACTTCTTGAAATTTTTCAATATTTGAAATTTGAAAAAAAAATAATATTTGAAGAATAATTCTTTTTAATTTCTGAAATCTGAAATGAGAAAAAATTGACCCCCCACAATTTCTTTTTACCCCCCCCCCCCCCCCCCTTTTTTTCCCCAAAAAAATTTTTCCCTCAAGATATGGTCATAATCTCAATTCAAATTTCCAATGGAGTATGCAACTATAATTACCCATTTAAATTTACCATAGTGCTAACTTAATCTATTTTATAATAGAATTTAAAATATAGTGTCAAATCTTTCATATGGATTTTTTTGTAAAAAAAAAGATGCAACATTTGCAGATATTTTTACTGGTCTTCCTTTATAAATATGTATTTCTTTAAACATAATTTAAAAGCAATGTAAGGGAAGTAACCAAAACGTTGTATTTGGATTACCTCCCTTACACTGTTTTGAATTATCTTAATTGTTCATTAACCATTACTTTATACATAATTTAAAAGCAGTGTAAGGGAGATAATTTCAATGATGTATTTGATTTATCTCCCTTACACTGCTTTAAATTATGTTTTGTACTAAAATATTTGTCCATTAACCAGGACAACCTTGTTTTTCCCCCTTTTTTGCCCCTAATTCCTAAACGGTTTGAGCCATAACCCCCCAAAGCAAATCCTAACCATCCCTTTGTGGTACGGAAACTTGTAGTATAATTTCACAGAGATCCATACACCGTTCCACAGTTATTGTCTGGAAACTAGAAAATGCTTATTTTTGGCCCCTAATTCCTTAACTGTTGGTACCATAACCCAAAAAATCAATCCCCACCTTCCTTTTGTGGTATTGAACCTTATGGTAAAATTTCAAAGAGATCCATTCACTTAAACTAAAGTTAGAGTGCGAAAACCAATGTGTCTTCGGACGACGACGCCAACGTCATACCAATATACGACTGCAAAAATTTTTTTGCGGTCGTATAAAAACTCAACTTGTTTCACAGGGTGACACTGGTAAATACAACAAACATTATTTATTGAAAAAAGGACACAAAACTGAAATGTGTTTGTATGATAAAAAGTGAAATGATAAGTAGACAGAAATAAGATATTGTTGAAGTCCTTACAGTGGCCTTTAATTTCTTATATCCATGTCATTTGAACTCTGGTGGATACTTGTCTCATTTGCAATCATACCACATCTCCTTATTTTTATACTCCATCTAGAAATTCTGTTTTTTTGTTTGTTTTTAAAGCTTTCAGGGACAACAGCCAGACAAGAAACATGCTGTTGTAAAGCTGATGAATCTAGGACTATCCTCTTTCAGATCTGTTAAAAAAAGAAGCTAAATGAACAATATAATTCATATATAGGTCATATGTCTTACCTTTTTGTAATTTGAATTTTCATTTGTCGGATCTGTAGCACATTCTGTTTGATTAACTGATGTAAACAGTCCAGAATCAACCTTTGGTGTTTCTGTGTCGACATTCTTACAACAGAAGTAGGGGGCCTTGAATGTCACTTTTTGATTGTCAATCATATAGGTTCTAACCCAGCCTGTAGCTAGCTCTACGTCCTTATAGTTGTCAACCCCACAGCAATCAAACTGAAAATGAAAAAAACAAAATAAAAAAATTTAAAGGTGGCAGATTAACTGTTTTTAATATAAGGAAAGGGAAAGCAATACAGTTTCATTATTTCAGTTTGAACTTGGTGTTTTAAAATAAGTTTGCTTGTATGAAGAATTTACTGCTTACAAGGAAGCTATTAAACGAAGGATTCACATCACCAGTCAATTAACTTTTTACCTCCATGAAAGCTGCATTAATTCCCATTGATATAATGTCTGTTCCATTATCACCATTATATTTATCTTTTATCACATTTTTCATCTCAGATTTCACAGATCCCTGCCACTGAAATAAAAAAAACCCCAACATATATATGTGCATTGTTGAAAATCATAATATATATATTTGTATGGTACATGTATTAACAAGAGTGCACACACTGAAATGGTTGACCTGCTTTACTGATATGATTGAATTAATGTTGAAAAGTCTTCAAGATAAAGATTTACTACAAGTATCACATTAACTTTACAGTATCAATTCCAATGATCCATGTTAATTAGGTCAAAGTCAGAGGAACCCTGCAAGACGAACATGTATACATAACAATCATTTGATACACCAAATATAGCTAACCTATATCTTATAGTGTCTGATAAACAGAATCTTAACATTGACCAATGAATCAAATAAATGAAGTCAAGGTCAGATGAACCTTGCAAGACAGGCATGAACATACATGTAATACAATCATTCATTCATTACATCAAATAAAGTTGACATATTGCTTCTTGTATCTGAGATACAGACTTGACCTTGATTACTGATCAATGAATGGTCAAGGTCAGGTGAACCCTGTCTGATGGACATGTTGACAGTAAGAATCCCATTTACCAACTATAAATATCCTTTCAGTCTTAGAAAGTGAACAAAAATTCATGTGATAGAAAATCTATTTTTTTATAATAAAACAGTGAATGAACCATGAAAATGAGGCATGGAACAGTTGACATATGACAAACACACACTTCCTAAAATAAGGCATCTGTTTAAAAGATCTATATGAAGTATCCTGCGACTCAAAAAATCTTATTAAAATTATTTGTAAGTTATATTGAAATATTCATGTTTTGTACGATTTTTTGTGAAATGATTCCCTGATCTTTTACCTTTAGTTCTTATGAAATTTAAGTTTCATTCACAGTTTACACAGAAGCCCCTGGTTTATCATCTATATGTACTGATTCAACTATTTTTTTGTAATAGGCAGGACAAAAACAGAAAAATATTTAATGTCTCTATGATAGAGATACTTGTCCTAAAGAATTGAGGAGGACTAAATGCATAATTCATCAAACGTCACTCAATTGTGACATGCAAGTTCATTTGTAAAGGGGAATAAAAATGAAGCTCTTAGTTCGCTGCAAAAATCTATGTATCAAAATTCCAGAGTGTTTCTGTTGTTCCGTTGTTTTCCTCTTATAGTTGAGATGTTTCCCTCGGTTTTGGTTTGTGACCTGGATTAGTTTTCGCTTAATCGATTTATGACTATTGAACAGCAGTATACTACTGTTGCCTTTATTTGATAACTTTCATTAATCATTTGATTTTTATACAATAATCTCGTCAAAATTTGCACAGGAATAATGGCATTCTGTGAACACCTACCTCATCTTTGTACTGGAATGTCAACACAATGGCTGCTATCTGTGCTCCTAGAATGATAAGTACCACAATGGCATACTGAAAAAGAAAGCAAAGTGATTATAGCATAAAATACATTATATGGTACAATGTATTTGTGTAGGTAGGTTGTAAATATAAGTGATTCCCACACTTACTAGGAAAGACAGGGAACTTTGTTCTTAAAGCAAAGAGTTGAACAAAAATTTGACACATGACAAACATTAACATGAGTTATCTACATGATCTAGGAAGAGAGTTAAGTCCAATATATGGAAGGAGAGAGGTTAGTTGCAAAAAGCAGATCTAGAGAGGTAATATAATTGTCCCTTTTTAAAACGGAGAATAATTTTCTTTTGTAAGGTCTTATGATATGATGTTCACAATTTGTTTTTAAACATTTTATTATAGAACTACCTCAAGCTCTCCTAAGAAAGGCTCTCTTAAAAAAATGTCTATATAATTCAAAATATGCACAACATGTTTGAATTTTTTTTCTTCATTTGCCAATAATTCATAGCTGTTTAAAATGGTTTGCAATTATAAAGTGCATCGTTCATATTTTTGTAATAGACAGTACATATGTAACTTGTTTTTCTATAGATATGAACAATATCAATATATGTATTATTTTGTTTTTCAAGTGCAGGAAATCTGCACTCAGACACCCTCTTATACACTACAGTTTTCCGGAAATAACTGACAAACATATGTTCCTTTTCCTTTTGGCAAAAGTTCAGTTTTAAGATCCAAACTCTTTCATGAAATACAATGCTGTAGACCTATAATGTACACCTTTTGTTTAAAAGTAAAGTTATATCTATAGAACTTATTAGAAATTCTGAAAAATTTGTTGAAATTTTCATAAGAATCATAGAACAAAACTTTTGCTCTTTAGGTCTATTATTGGTTATCTCCTATATCTGCACCATTTTTTAGTGAAATTTTTAATCCTGTAAATATTAAAACATGGTTAGAAGATGTGGTATGATTGCCCATGAAAAAACTCTCCACCAGAGACCAAATGATAAAGAAGTTGACTGCAGTCAATATAACCTGGAGGCAGGCATTAGTTGTCCCCTAAACATAAATGTGTACTAGTTCAGTGAAAATGGATGTCACACTAAACTCCAAAACATATAAATGAACTAAAATTAAAAAAATATTCAAGACTAACAAAGGCCAGAGGCTCCTGACTTGGGGCAGGCACATAAATAAGGCGGGGTTTAACATGTTTTGTGAGATCTCAACCCTCCCCTTATACCTCTAGCCAATGTAGAATAAACAAACACACAGCAATACACACAGTAAAACTCAAGTTTAAAAGAAGTCCGGGTGTACCATGTAGTGATCAGATTTATTGGTTGAGAAAAGGACTTCAATAGAACAAATTAGCAAAGGAAAATAAAACTTTCAGACATTTCCATTTTAAGTGGTTTTTGATGTCGTTGTATCATTTACAGTTCCTTTATGGAAATCATCAACTTCAAAACTGTTCTACTCACAGTAAAAATAAATCCAGTGGTGAGTTCAGGTGGTGTTGTACCCAGCTACATAAAGGATTTTTGCAAATAAAATCCATTTTTTTCAACTGTTTTAGAACAAAACTAGATGTATTTAAAAGACAAGAATGGCCCCGCTGGTATATAACTATTATTTTCATGAAATTTTCAAAGACCAAAGCCTGTTTATTTCAGCAAATATCAGCAGAGGGGAGCAGAGCAGAACCAACTGTAATCTCAATCTGTAGCTCATCATAGAAGACTTGTATACAGAAAATCAGCTCAATGTGCAAAGCAGTTTAGAAAAAAAAGTCTGTTTAACAGAGCCATTAGTTTCGGCACTTTGTGGAGGGGCCATAAAAGCCCTTAAAAAAACAAACACATACCAATCGCCCAAGCAAGAGAATTTGTTTTTTTGCAAATGGAATTCTAATTTTCTTTCATATAGTAGTCACTTTTATATGGTTTAAAAGCAGAGTTCCAATATCAAACCAGTATACCATGTACACCAGTCAGCCAGTAACCAGTAACAATACATGAATCATTCTATTGCTGACAATTTAACAGTTTAGTTTTTAATATCTTTAAGCATACAGGAAAGTTCATCCTTCAAAAATGAGAATAGTGAAAGCTGCCTGTAGAACACAAAAGTATACATATAGATAAACTCATCATAGATACCAGGATTGAAATTTTATATTTACGCCAGACGCGCGTCGTCTACAAAAGACTCATCAGTGACGCTCAAATAAAAAAATATAAAAAAGGCCAAATAAAGTACGAAGTTGAAGAGTATTGAGGACCAAAAATTCCTAAAAGTGTTGCCAAATACAGCTAAGGTAATCTATTCCTGAGGTAGAAAAGCCTTAGTATTTCAAAAATTCAAAGTTTTGTTAACAGTTAATTTATAATTATGAACATATCAATGATAACTCAAGTCAACACAGAAGTGCTGACTACTGGGCTGGTGATACCCTCAGGAAGGAAGTCAATCTCCACCAGCAGTGGCATCGACCCAGTGGTTGTAAATAAACTCATCATAGATACCAGGATTGAAATTTTATATTTACGCCAGACGCGTGTTTCGTCTACAAAAGACTCATCAGTGGCGCTCGAATAAAAAAATATAAAAAAGGCCAAATAAAGTACGAAGTTGAAGAGCACTGAGGACCAAAAATTCCTAAAAGTGTTGCCAAATACAGCTAAGGTAATCTATTCCTGAGGTAGAAAAGCCTTAGTATTTCAAAAATAGATGAGTCACTTGATAGAATAGGCCAAAACCAATTCAAAACAAAATTAACTTATAATTAGGACCTTATAGCTATTTAGTTCATGACCATCCATTCTGTCAATTTTCAAGGAATGAATGTCCCATCATGCACTTTTATTAAAGTATAATGGCTACTTACACTTGTGAGGAGAATCTTCTGCTGACAGCAAGCCCCACAACAACCGAACATGGAAAGTAAGAAAACAAACACTCCTACACAGATACATATTATGGCAACTGTAGAGATTACAGAAACCAAGTCCGTTTCTAGGTGCTGCAGCTGAATCTGTCTCAGGAAATCACTCACGTAACCATTTACCAAATTTTCCTTGAACTTCAAAAGTGCTCCTGACACTAAAATAGCTAATCCCAGTATCTGTAAAAAATGTAATGTATATTATATATTTATTAGTAATTTTGAATATCAATTTTTGACCTCTGGATATATTTTTAACAAGAGATAGAGATTTGAATATTATAAACAGGCCTAGGAGAATTGGAACTTTGATGCATTTATTTCTGCACTGTATTGATTCTGTAAACATTATACATGCATTGCATTTCTATATATTCAATTCAATAAAATACAAATGGGGAATGTGTCACATGGACAGATGATGCCCCTGCTTGCATATTATATAAAGTTATAAAGGGACATAACTAAAGAACAGTAAAAGTGACGCTACCCAAATTTGTACTGGATCTGAGGTTTGTGGTAATAAGTATTGTGTATAAGTTTCATAACATTTGGTTAAGGCAAACTGAAGTTAGAGAAAGGAAACTAAAAATTCAGCAATTTTTCCATTTGTAAAGGGGCATAACTCTAGAATAGTAAAAGTAACACCACCAAAATTCAAACATAATCTGTATTTTGTGGTAATAAGCATTGTGTATAAGTGTCATAACATTTGGTTGAGGCAAACTTAAGTTAGAAAACAGAAACGAAAAATTCAGCATTTTTTTCATTTGTAAAGGGACATAACTCTAGAACGGTTAAAGTGACACCACCAAAATTCAAACTTGATCTGTGTTTTGTGGCATTAAGCATTGTGTATAAGTGTCATAACATTTGTTTGAGGCAAACTCGAGTTAGTGATCGGAAACAATTTTAGGACTTATGGACGTATGTACGTACGTATGTACAGATGGACAAGGGTAAAACTTAATGCCCCCTCTGCCACTGCGGGGGCATAAAAATGCTCTGCATTTACATAGTCAGTCTGATATGTATCAAAAACATAATTATTCTTTTAGATCCATTCTAACAGCAGAGGTACCTAATGCCAGAACTACAAAGTACATGTATATACGAACATTAATTTTTTTAGAAATTATTCTTATAAATAATAAGTCACCAAACCATTTCAGATAGGAGACAAATTTGTAGAGTTTTACAGTATTAATATTTATGTGGAACTGCAGCTCATTCCAATGTTGTGCATGCTGATAGTTTAAGTGCTTTATTTTATGCTTTAATTTTGTGAAAGCATGCTGCTTGATATGAGCTACATATGTGATATATGCCTACTATTTTGGAATACTATCCATTTATAACATTAAAAATACATCTTTATTTGTAAATTTTATAATTTGTTATCTATTCTATAAGAGTTTATCAGGTGTAATACCACCATTGATTTTCCCCTATTAGTCTTTGTTAAATTTGCACTTTTCAAAAAATTGTGCAGAATTTATCTTTGTTTCAAATAAAGAAATACTTGGCATGAGTAAAGTTTTATCCTGTCCAGTACTATAGAAAAAATTTCACATAACATTTCATTGCATATAAGAAAATAACCATCACTGGAAGTTAACCAATCCAATTTTCTCCCTTTTTTAACCGGTGTACAAGCTTTAGTAACCATGTAACCTCAAGTTTCCAAAATATTCTATAGAAACCCCAAATAAAAAAATAATGCTGCTTTGAAATACCCAAGATATATGTTTATGACCCAGAAATGTTTTACTACAATGAAATGTAGGATCAATTACCTATAACTGCAAATTCAAGGCAATATTTTTTTTCGACGTATTTTTGTATGCAACCGGATGTGACATTCTATGATTTGGTGGTATTACACCTATCAACTTATTGAGACACTTTCACTTCAGGCTTTTGTATATATAATTTACACTCAACTTTTTACTGTAAGATGTGTAAGTTTACTTAAACAAAATTATAATGAACTATGAACCATACATGTACCTTTATGAAACATATCTATATTGTTTCCTCTGACATGTTACCTTCTCTTACATGTACATTTTTACCTCATGCTTCCTCTAAATATTCCTCTGATCATAGGCGAGGTTTACACAACTTATTTACACACTTCATATTGACGTTTTAATCCAACCAAAGCAAATTACTAAGAGATCTTTATTAGTCCTTTTTTAGATTGTCTTTCAAAATAAAATGTTTGAACTTTTAATTCCAAAAGCCTATTTCAAAAATCATAATGTATTTATCATGTTTATGTATCATTATAGTATTGGGTGACTTAAATTGGTTTTTTAACAAAACAACTCGGTACCCATAGTCAAGGGTTTACTAATCCTTGCCTTAATCATGACATATGCACAGGACTACTAGCCGTCTCCTTCTTCTGTATTTATAGTCAAATAAATAAAGCTGAATATTGACATGCTTTCGGCAGTTACAGGATTTTTTCGCAGACATACATTGTATTTAGTGATACATGCCCCTGGGAATAGTATATCTAACGGGAAATGAATCTGATAGGTTTTTCAGTATAAAATTGATAAAATCTTGGACTTTACTAGAATTCGCGAGATTTATAGATTTTGGTAGCGTCTGACGGAAAAACTATCAGAACTGCTCAATAAATTAACCACATAATTCTAATCGTAAATAAATACAAGTTTTATCATAAAGTACATGTAGATATATTTTGTCATGTAAAATGACCAAAATAAGTGTGGTTTATTTGATGTGAAGTGTTTTATAATGGTTGGGGAAATTGGGAATGTGATGAAATGAATGCGATTCTAACAATTTTGAAGTGACAGATTACAACTTCAATACACTGGCATCACTTTAAAACTTAGTTTGAACTGGGAACAGTATATCAATATATATGTTCCTGGTTTGAATGACATTTTATAGATATCATCAGAAATTATTAGTATAATCATGATAATAGCGAGTACGTTTTTAACACATGTCCGTTTCCGTATTGTATCCCGCAATGGTGGGAAGTCGTGCACTTAAGGCCATTTTTTATTTTATTTTTCTGTAGACTTAGTTTTGTTTTTTTATTACTGTGTATTGTCAAGCTTGGTTACTCATAATTGTTTCTCAGTCACTGAATGTACGATGTTGTTCCATACTGGAGCAGCTGACCCGGTTTGTTTACATTCAAATTCTAATGGCTTCAAAACCATGTGACACATTGAATCGTTATATCCAATCAAATTGCTCTACTGTCAATTAGGTGATTTTTTAGTACAAGGCAATTATATTATTTGTTTGTATGATATTGCTTTGAAATAGTTTGCAATAAATTGGGGGTTTATTCAATAGGAAACCTCATTATTAGCCATGAAATTTGACATCAATGGAATTTTATATGAATATTTACTTATGGTCAGAATATCGATCTCTTTATTTTGAACCAAATTTTTTTTTTATGAAAAATATATGTATATTGTTTTTTATTAACCTACTCTATATTCCTGAACAAAAGTATGGCATGATTATCGTTTGTTTCCCAAAGTTTTTCTTTCAATTTAGATGGGTTTTTTTCGCGGGAAAATCGTGCAAGACGTAAGGTGCTTGCCATTTTGAAATTCTTAAAAATACGATTTGCTTGGCCTGTTTGGTCTGCCATTAAGATTGATTACGCTCAATGGAATGTAAACAAAGCAATGGAGGCCGGAAGAGGGGTTTTCTTAAGTTCTGAAATGTTTTTAGGCATTCGGAAGTCAGGTTTGAAATGGCCATTAGAAAATCTGCATTTTTGTACAATACTTTAGAATAATAATGAAAACATATCTTTAGAAATATCATTTTATTTAGAAGTGTAGAAAAAATGTATTCTGCAATAATTTTATACGCTGGTATTAGCGTAGTGACGTCAATGCGGAGTTTTCCCGTATGATAAGTACAATAACAAAATCCGAACGAACCAATGTTATGACCGATTATAGACTACGGTAGGATATCTTTATTAACTATGAACTGATGATGAAATGGGCTACAATTAGGTAGTGTCAAGTCCCCTCAAAATATATTTCCTGCATGCCCTATAACCCTGTCCCCCTAATCTAATAGGTCCTTAACAGCTCATGATCAACTTAGCCTAACACCCCATGATCAACTTAGCCTAAAACCCCATGATCAACTTAGCCTAACACCTCATGATCCCACTTAGCCTAAAGTTAGGAATTGGTTTTTTTTAGAAAAGAAATCTTGAAAAGTACAAATGACAAAAGATATGAAATATAATTATATATATCTACACCAGAAATAGAAACTTAAATCAAAATATGATTCATAATCATGACATCGTGTATAACTTCAGGAAGTGCTTTGTGAAACAGGAGTCACTGTAACAAAAGACATCCTTGAAGAAAATGTATAATTTTTTTTTATCTGTTTGAGTGTTTCAATGATATCATTTGCTGTATACTTACTCCAAAGATAATATTAACAATAACAAGGACAACTTGTCCGATCCTTCCACAAGCACCAATTTCTCTACCCATTCTGTTTCCTTTGTAGTTTTTTTTAATGTCTTGGTCCCCTTTAAAAAACTATGACACTTTACTAGTGCTTAAAATAGTCTAAAATGGCGTTCCAAATAAATAAACATGTATGCCCTAAAAATAGATTTCTTGAGTTATGTCCCATTTTTCATAAGTTATTTGCAGCGGGAAATATAAATTCTGGGGTAAACTCGAATCCCATCGAATTACAGATAGAGTGGGGTGCTTATTTTCGCCATAATTTTCCATGTTTTCTGCAGTTTATGTTCAGACCTTTTAAGTTTTTGAAGTATACTGATATTTCTATATGAAGATAACATCAAAAGCAAAATATTCTTTTTTTAATTCAGTAATGAAGATAGTTGATATACGTATGCAACATTTTAAAGAACATTTTACTCTTAACAACAACCATAAAAATCCTATTTCTCGTATCAAACATAATCTAAAAGAACTAGCCAAGGAATTTGTTTTTGTCCCGGCTGATAAAGCTGCTAATAATATCATTATAGTTTGACCGTGACGTAAATTTTACATTGAGGTTCTGCAAAAGGAAATCACGAATTCACCAACATTCCAACTGACTTCATTTTCAGAAAACGATATCTGTAACAAACATAAACTATTAGCTACTTCTTTACAATAAGAACCAATTACAATGAAAGTCCCAACTATGTACTGGCCTCCGAAGCTACACAAATCACCTTACAAATATAGATTTATTTCGTCTTCAAGTCATTGTTCCACTACTAAATTGTCTATTCTACTTACTAGTACACTTGGTACAATCAAAAACCTGATAATAAATTGTTCAAATAAGGCCTTTGAAAATAGTGGAATTAACTACTTTTGGAGTGTCAAAAACTCGTTGGAAGTACTTGATAAATTACATGCATATATTGGTGATTTTGAATCTGTTCAAAGTTTTGATTTTTCTACCCTATATACCACTTTGCCTCATATTCTTATTAAGAAAAAATTCACACACCTAATTAAATGGGCATTTAAAAAGTCGGAATGCGAATACATATGTTCAAACTCTTTTAGGTCATTTTTTAGTAACAACAAACAAAAGAGCTATGTCAATTGGACATGCTTTGATACACTATATCTGCCCTTGAATTTGTACTTGATAACATTTTTGTTCGCTTTGGAGATTCCGTATATCGTCAAGTTATCGGAATTCCAATGTTATTATACTTATTGTGGACCTGTTTTTGTATTGTTATGAGTTACAATTTATGACTAAAATCAGCAAAGACCCATCGAAACAACATCTGATACAAACATTTAACAATACTTTTAGATATTTGGATGATATATTGGCTCTCAATAATGACGACTTCAGTATGTATACTAAAGAAATTTATCCTGTTGAACTTACTTTAAATAAAGCTAATACTAACAATGACCACTGTCCTTTCCTCGATCTTGATATCTATATCATTAACGGGAAGCTTAATACAAAAATTTATGATAAAAGAGATGATTTTTCATTTCCTATCGTTAATTATCCATTTTTAGATGGTGACGTTCCCTTGTCACCATCTTATTGTGTTTATATATCTCAACTTGTACGATTCTCTCGTGTATGTAACAACGTATTACATTTTAGCGAGAGAAATTTATGTATTACTGAAAAATTATTACACCAGGGTTTTCGATATCATAAACTAGTCAAAACATTTACTAAATTTTATCATCGGTATAAGGACATCATTCGTAAATATAACTCAACATGCAGACATCTTATACGTTCGGGTATTTCACATCCAATCTTTTATGGTAATATTCTTTACAAAGCACAAAAATGTCAGTATTCACATCAAAAGCTAATAAAACCTTTAAACAGAATTATTAAGAAGGGATATAGTTACGATTCTGTTGTCAGGTCATTAAAGATTGCATATTTTGGCTTTAATATTGATTCGCTTATAGGGTCTTTGCATCGGAATTAAACATATTTATTCTAAAACCAGTTGTTGGCATGACACGGGTTATGTTCTTCTCATATATTTTATGATGGTATAATACAAAACCCCTAACAGGAGGGATTGTGCCTGATATTCATATGATGAAGACATAATCTTTCAATCAGTTTAATCAGAGACATATAATACAATATATTGTATTGTATGTCTCTGGTTTAATTGAGGTCTGGAGCTGGCATGTCAGTAACTGCTAGTAGTCTGTTGTTATTTATGTATTATTGTCATTTTGTTTATTTTCTTTTGTTTCCTATTCTGACATCGGACTCGGACTTCTCTTAAACTGAGTTTTACTGTGCGTACTGTTGTACGTTTGTTGTAGGGTTTACGCAGTATATATTGGACGATGTCCGTAGTCTTTCGGAACACCGGATGTTATTCGGAATACATCTGTTTCTTTCTATGGCCACCTTTCATATACATGCGCAATAGCTTATTATTTGACTAGCCTGGGGTCATGCCTGGCTACTTATTTGCTCCGCTACATGCTTATCGACGCAGTATGATTGGACCAGGATGCCAGGCTAATTATTTGACCTGTTGAATCATTAGCATCTTAAAGTTGCTATCGAGATATGTTACATATGATGCGAAATTTATTATGACGCAAGCTACTTTAATAAGCATTTGAATACTTCCTTGCACGCAATTACAAGCTGCTAATATTTACCTTACATATACGCGTAGTAATTCTAATTAGAGTCAAACGTTGAAACCAGCTGTGTTTAGATATGAGATAAGATTTCACGTAAACAATGCGATTTATATTCGAAACGAGATTTGTTAAAACTAAAATCTATAAAAGAAGTATTACTAGCATTTCACTTAAGATTCCGAGTCGGGAAAATGTACATAATGTACGAAGCAGGCTATTTCATAATTTTCATACCTCAACGTCCTTGTAGGACTATCTAAAGGACAATACTGGAATTAAAATGAAGTCTTCATGCACTTTATTGAAATTTTACGTCTAGGATAGACCAAGGACGTATATAATCTAAATTGATATACGTCCTTGAATAGTTTTTATTTTCTTTAAAATTGCAATTTTCTTTGTTTAAATATTGCAACGTTATTTCCTTATCAAATGTCTATTAATTAATAGACACCGAGTGATGACAGATGCAGGCAGAGATAAGAAAAATTAATTTCTATTTATAGTTATCTTGGTCAGGGAACAGATTATCTAACTATATGTTCGGCCTGTAGTAATTAATGCTCTTCAAAATGTTCGTCAAAATAAAAATAAATAATTATTATTTCATAAAGACGATCAGATGATGAATTATCGGTTTTAATATATTAAGTACGAAAATGTAAAATAGTGTAAGAAGATTTTGAGCCATCTCATGACTGATCAGTAGGCTACACAGTGCCCCCAAATGACCAGTATAAAACTATCCAGCAAGAGAGAAAAAGGATAGCCGAATGTAAGAAACCTACTAAGCAACTTCAGTTCAATTTCAATATCTCGAAATCTTAATGGATTTGTCAAATGTCAGGGAATATCTTTTTAAATGTGGTAGGAAGACAACTCTCCATCAAAACACAGTGTAGTCAAAACTCGCAATTATAGGTTATAATTCAGCCTTCAACACAAAAGCTTGGCTCACATAAAAATTTGGACAGCATCCTACCGAGGGCCCCAAAACACTGTTATAAAACAATTTAAACAGGAAAAAACAAACAGATCTAATTTAACTTCAAACCAGAAACAAAAAGCAAATATGAACTGCACCAAAAAAAGATAACCACTAAACAACATGCTTCGGACTTGGGACATGTGCTTATGAATACACCTTGTTTAAAAGAATTTACATACATACCATAAGACAGTAGTGTAATTTTACCATGTAAAAGACACCCTTTAATATTTAATGAAAAAATCGTGTTCAGATAAAAAAAATCGTAAGGGTTCCGCGGAACCCAGTGCCTACTTTTTGCTGCAAATCGCAGGCTCAACAAAAATGAGGAAAAACATCAATAAAAATATTCCTCTCAATACTATTTTTTTTTTTATTTTAAGAAGCTTCTGTCCAAGTTTGGTAAAAATCCAGGATAGTTTATAAATCTAAAAAATTTAACTTCAAACTGTATTTAATGTTAACTGGAAGAAAAACTAAGTCCATTTATAAGTAAAATACAGATAAACAGGTACAAAATTTTAACAAAAAATTTCCTTCTAAATACTAGCTTTTAATCATAAACAAGCTTCTGTCCAAGTTTGGTACAAATCCAGGATAGTATAAAAAAGTTATTAAAATTAAAAAAAAAATTTAACCTCGGAGTGAATGTATTGTATCCCAGCAGAAAACTAAGTCTATTTATAAGTAAAATACGGAAAAAATGGAATTTCATATTTACAAAATTTACTTCTGGATACTATCTTATGATCATAAACAAGCTTCTGTCCAAGTTTGGTACAAATTCAGGATAGTTTAAGAAAGTTATTAGAATTTTAAAAACTTTAACCACAGAGTGAATGTATTGTTTCCCAGCAGAAAAAACTAAGTCCATTTATAAGTAAAATACGGAAAAATGGAATTTTATTCTTACAAAATTTACTTCTGGATACTATCTTATGATCATAAACAAGCTTCTGTCCAAGTTTGGTACAAATCCAGAATAGTTTAAGAAAATTATTAAAATTTCAAAAACTTTAACCACAGAGTGAATATTTGTGGACGCCACCGCCGACGACACCGACGGAATGTAGAATCGCTTTGTCTCGCTATTTCGACTAAAGTCGAAGGCTCGACAAAAAGGAACACCTTACAACAGTTCATAAATGTGACCTTTAAACAAACTCATATTTAGGTGATGGGTATACTGATCAGTGGTAATTTCAGGTTTGACCATGTTAGTTTTTTTGTTGTTTTCAATTTTGTTTGTTTGTTTATAAGTACAAGGTGTAAGCTGTTTTGTCTAGGCTATAAATATCTTTTTTAATGAATTGGTTTCGGTCATCAAGGTGAAGAGGATACAGTGCGATTCAAATTGTATATATTTACAATTAAACTTGCAGGCCTTTTTTCATGACCCACAATTTAAAATATAGAAAACATCAAAATAAAAATGGACATCCGGAAAATATCTTCAAAGCGAGTTAAAGGTTTTAAAAGTGTTT